TGACCAGCTTACAAAAGAACACCTACAACGTAAAAATAAATCCACCGTACATGAAAACACTGTACATGAAAAAAGTCAGAACAAGTTTGTAGTTGAAAATTATTATCAGAATAATTAAAAAACAACAAATTCCGGAAGAAGAACGCCGAATCAAGGAGGTACAGCCAATTCATACATTATTATCAACAATTCATTTCTAGCAAATAAACGAGAGTAAAAGGTGAAATTCAAAGAAGATCACAAATATGCCAACTAATGTATCACTAGAAACTGGTAAGCTAACAGATGGCCATCGTACAAGTTTTAGGTCAACTACATATCGGGTGATTTATTAAAATACAAAGACAACCACCTCCATAGCAGTTGGGATATACGAGAGATTCGCCGGAAAAATAACGATGTTTTGATGACGTCACTATATGGACCAACACTACCCAAGCAGACGACATCCCATAGAGAATGAACATAATTGCAAAGCTATTATTTCCCAAATTATAATGAGTTTAGTGTATATAAATGTAATGGCATGTCAAACCATTCAAAAGGGGATATGACCCGATTCTGATAACTAAAATCATTTGCTTGTAAATACACAGGATAGGGGTTAATTAACAATCAAAGAAACCAGACTTTCAAATTAAAAAACCCCCGGAATGATATTAAGCACGGCATTTGTTCCCTCTTGAAACGCCGAACATACCCCGATGTGTGCAGCTGAATATACAATGGCGTCTTATTTTGTTTACAAGCGACAGATTCCTTTATTTTTGTATCGCTGCATTTGTCATCAAAATAAAACCATGCGCGGGGTTTAGAGTGAGGCAATAGATTATACATTTTAGCCTGACGGTAGTGAAGTAAGAGAAAGAACTCAAGAGAAGATGAAAACACAGGCACTGAAAATGTGTGAGATGTCATGGGACATCGTCTGCTTGTGCAAGTCATGTCCATACTGTGATCTCACACATCTCAGCAGCGTTCGGAGAGCTCTTCCGGTGCTATGCCGGGGCTGTATTTAAGCGTTTTGTAATTTATAATAATCGTTACTTCGAATGTTTCCATGCATTGAATTTCGATAACATTGTCGAATCAAAGTTTCAACTTTGCAATAATGACAATAAAGTTAGTTTTTAAAATCAATGAATATCTACTTTAAAAGAAAAGAAAATCTACATAAGCGATAAAAAAAATACATACCAAAAAGAAGAAGAAGAGATAGAGGGAGGGAGAAAAATATATCTCAAGTGTGATTGGAGCATTACCTTCTGAATAAAGGGAACGATTATTGTATCAAATTGAACACAATTTCATGAACTTCTCATTCAAAATTGGAACAACCTTTTTTTTGCAACGTACTCATTCTTTTAAATATACCGATATACTTGGAATTCGTAGCCTATTAATAAAAGGGACCTCGATGCTTTTATGTAGCAAGAAATTGGTGGAGGTGTGGTAGTTTGGTGGTTTAAATAACAGGGTGAATACCCGAAGGTTGTGGGTTCGATCCCAGGCAGGACAGTTTTATCTCCATGGCCTGCCTCCACCTTGTGCAAAGTGAAATAGGATTAGGCGGTCGTTAATGACCAGCGGTGGTTTGTTCAGTATTGTGTATCCTATTGCGGTCTGTTCAGTAATTTTCGAACCCCATGAGTGGAGAAGGTGCACATAATAGGCGGTGTCACACAGAGGCCAAAAATCCGGATTTTAGTTATCCGGTTTTTAATTATCCTCTTTTTGGCTGTCTGACATCAATTATCCCTTCAAAAATCCCTTCAAAAATCCCTTCAAAAAACCTCATATGAAGCAAGATAATTCTCTCTTGAAAGGATTTTTCAAGGGTTTTTTGAAGGGATTTTTCTGTCTGACACCAATGTTGAAATAATCCCTTTAAATAAGCGTGATGTCACAATGCTTATCCACCTAAACGGCGCATACTTTCGATTGAACGTGTAATGTCCATGTCACAATGCTGATCTACCTTAACGGCGCGTGCGCAATGGCCCATCAATAATCCGGATTTTAGTTATCCGGATTATTCGTGGCCTGTCTGTCACCGACGTACTCAAATGAAAAAAATAGATTTCTAAAATCTGTTTTATTCAAGATGGGTCGGGATTTTTCTGTGTGACACCGCCTAATGTGTGCGGGGAAATCGTGAATCCAATAATCGGGGGCTAATAGAGACATCATATACCGTTCTAAGATTAATCATTAATGTTGTTCTTATCATTGTATTAAATTCTTTTGTACTTGTTATGGGATTGATACCTTTTATCATTCTGATTAGATGGAATATTTGGGAATAAAGTCTATCACTTTTATTTCATGACGCTTATGAATATTGAACTATTTTTTCACAATATACACATTTTTCTGTATTTGATTGTAAATTTAAGGGGGTGGAAGAAAAGAAATGTTGCCTTACTTTAGTCAACACCTAAGCAGAGACATTATGGAAAGAGAGAAGAAGAGATTTAGCGTTTATTAAAATATTACATAAAGAAAGTGGTTGAGAAAGAGAGAAGTAGAGATTGATGTTGGACGTTTATTACACAGAGACAGCGGTTGGGGGAAAAGAGCGGGAGAGAGAGAGAGACTAGAGACAGCCAGGGGCGGATCCAGCTTGCGGCAGGGATGGGGGCCAAAGAGGGGGCCCAATTCGTGAGAAAATATTTAGCGGCGAAACATCGGTGAATAATAAGCGGGGGGGGGGGGAAGAGGGGGAGTGAGCATTAATTGTTTTTCCCTCGAAAATTTGAAAATCGCACCCCGCCCCCCCCCCCCCCTCCCCCTGAGCACCAGGAGGGGGGGGGCGTCTCCAAATAAAGGTAAAATTACGTGTTTTATCTTGGTTTTTTTCCCTCTCTGGATCCGCCACTTGAGACAGCTGACATAATAGAGACACAGAGAGACAGCTGATAGAGAGAGAGAGAGAGAGAGAGGGGGGGGGGGGTGAGATATAGACATTGAAATGAGAGATTGAGGCATGTCTACGGGGAAGAGATGAGAGGGGAGGAATAAACAAAATTGATGGAAATATGTTTAAAGAGACTAGACTATAACACTGATCTTGGTTGTCATGTTATCGTTGACCATAATTTTCGTGGTATCATCTGCACTTTCATAAATTTCCTTTTATTCAAGATTCGAACAGTCCTTTGTTAGTCACGATACCGGATTAATTTGAATATTTTGGCGCTCAGGAACTAATCTTATACCTTCCAATGAATTTCCTCCAGAAGTAGCCCATATTATGCATCATTTCCAACCTTATGATCCTCGACTATCATAAATGGTTAGAGTGAATTAGGGTAGGGCAGCCGAGGGATTCAACAGACTTCCCTATGCCCGCTAATGATTTTTTTTCTTTCACTCCAGGATTTCTCTAAAGATTTTTAAACTTCTGCAGATCACTTTTTAAAATGCAAAGCGAAACTTCACTCAGTTGCGAAAGGCTCAATTAAAGCAACTCTTTCTCTCTCTTTCTCTCTCTCTCTCTATCTCTTTCTCTCTCTCTCTTCATTGATATATCATATTGCAGTACAGTCTCTTCATTTAGGCTGTATTTTGTATGGGGTAAATTATTAAAAAAACCTGCAGGGCAACCTAATGTGCGTCAATAACGAGGAGGGGGAAATGAGACGCCTCCCAGTTTGAGTTGATAAAAATACATTAATAATTTTCCCCTCTCCTTTTCTGAAAGGGGGCTTACAGTTTGCCCACAATAAAAAAGTGCCCCAATTTCCCGCCTTTTGACGCCAGGCCTATTCGACAAATCAAGGAAAGGGGAGGGTAAAACTCCATTACCCCTGTTTAGTGCCTGTCTCCGTCGAACATGCATATCACAAGAGTAGACTACTGATTAATTTGTAATATAGGTATATGAGAGACTATATATTTTTTTCAAAGATAAATTTTGAAGAACATTCCCTTCAGAACAAACTGCCTCCAACCAAAAGCATCAAATTTCTCTTATTCCTCCCCAAGGAGCCGGAGCCGGGAGGACTGAGGAGAAAAATATCTTGCACCACTTTCCCCTTTTACACGTAATAAGGTAATAAGAGTGGATGCATTGCGATATATCATAACCACCACCTACAGAAAGACAAGATAACGAGATGTGACTGACTCCGGGGGGCGTTATTTTCTTCTGCGGCACAGATTGGGGCTTTAAAAAAAAAAAGAGGTCTTGATTTAACCCTAACCCTAACCCTAAACTTTCCCATAGGCCGCCATCCTAGTCAAGCTTCGCTTATGATTGCGGTCTCCTGCACTTTTTCAACTGATAGTAAGTTTGGATAATACTTTAAATTTATAATAATATGTTATCGAAATATTAAGTTTCGTTATTATATGTACATATGTAAAAATTAAAAAAAAAAATAAATAAAAAAACATTTTGACACGAAGTTATCATTGTATGTATATTTTGTATTATACCTTACGTTTATATGTTCTTTGTTATTTTGTTATTATAATTGGAAAAATGCAGAAATAAAATCAAAATCAAAATCAAAACCAATCTGTGCCGCAGAAAAAAATAACGCCTCCGGGGGGGGGGGGTACTCACATATAAAGACATACGGCGGTGTGCCGCTCTAATGGGCCACTTTTTCACCCAAAAATCAAGGGTCCCATTTTTAACAAAAAAATCCGGTTTTTAAAAATTTCCAAAATTTTCAGGTGTTTGCATTGCACCCGAAAATGTTGGCAGACACACTAGTGTTGTGAAAAATGTGCTTTACTTCGAGAAAAATCCCCCTAAATGATCCTTAATGGTAGGGGCTTCTCGTGGCCTGGGCGGCACACCCCTTTCCAAATCAGGTAAATCAGCCCACCCCACCCTATTTTCACATCGCATAGGCCTACGCGCCCAACATCGAAGATCGTTCTAGAAGTGCACAACCCAAGTACTGCTCTGTATAATTTCGCTGATGCACGAGAGTATTGCCGTCAAAGGGGGATGTATAGCTTGTACGGGCTGTATGATATGAGGACCAGCGAAACGCATGGTAACGCATTGATCGGATATCAAAGGAGAAAATTCTAACCAAGCATGGCCGCCATCAAAGCTCTAAATCCCAAAGCCGAAGTAGCTAGAGCAGCCGCAGCTCTCGCAGTTAATACAAGTGCAGCTAGAGGACTTCAAGATGTCTTACGTACCAATCTCGGACCGAAAGGAACTATCAAAATGTAAGAAATATCTGTTTATTTCAGGGTTGTTTCCTCAGTGCGGCTAACGGCGCGGCGGGCACCTCGGCCTCGTAATGCAATGCACTGTAACTTAACTGTACGACGCGACGGAACGGCTGTTCCGCCGCCTGAACTAACCCGTGAACAAGGAAGGAGTGGTCAGTGCCGCCGCGCCGTGTACATGTGCCCTATTCATGAGTCATCATCTGTCTTTTAAGTTTTAAAAGTGTTAGGTTCGACTTGTAAGAAATAAATTACAAATTCTCCATTGTTTTGAATGAAACTGCTAAGTAAGTAAAATTCTGACTTCGTTGGTTACACACATGCAAAATAAAATGGCATGACTCATGCCATTTTATTTTGCATGTGTGTAACCAACGAAGTCAGAATTTTACTTACTTACTTTGGTTTACTTTGGTGTCGAGGCTTGAAGCTTCAGCTTATGTGCCCCTCTTTACTGCATTGAATTTATTTTCTTTGAATTTTATTTTATTTTATTTTATTTTATTTTATTTTATTTTGAATTTATTTTCTTTTGACTTTTTTTTTTGTCGTCGGTCGGCTTGCTTGAAAACCTGACCATTTTGCCGATGACAAAAATTACCTATTTCCAGGAGATCTGATATTAAAAGAGCATTAATTTGAACAAAAATATATCAGTGTCAGTTACCATTTGACTTTGTTTTAGAAGGTTTCCCCCTTTTTCACAAGCATGCTATAAACAGTAGAGGCGCTGGTCTGAGAATAAGGATCGTCCGCACAAATCACGTCCTAAAAAATAGGTCTTTAAGGATGATCTTTAAATAGCGATCTGCACGTTGGCGATGCAAAAAACAGATTCTGCGATGATGCTCGAAGATGCATGTCTCACTTACGGAGCGCAGAGACTTGGGAATATGGACAACCCATTAAATGAGAAGGTGAACTGGGGGTATTTTATTACATGAAATTCTTTTTTTCTCGCATTGCTGATTTTTTAAGTGTAACCCTTAACTCGCAGCGCTGAAAAAAAAAGATGTCCACAAAAATGTGGTCGATCCTCAATTTTTTAGGACGCAAGTTGTCCGCGTTTACAAAGACATCCTCCTTTATGCAGACAATCCTTATTCTCGGACCAGCGCCCCTTACTGATGAAACTTAGCAAGGATTTTTGTTTTGTTTTTGTCCATGCCTTATGCCTGGTCACGGTGGTAGTATTTTTTTGAAGTGTTGTCCGAGGCTGGGGCTGAGGAATAGCCTCTTTTTTTTTTCCTTTTTTTTTTAGATCTGTTCAGATTGACGATCATCACAATAACTTTATTCTTTTATCACGTCACTTCTTGTAAGATGTAAAACTACATTACGGCAGTACGCAGCAAATTAATTTCTAACATGATCATCATTCTTTTATGGACTATTTGATCTGGTTTTGCACATTTTTATGTCTGTAAGTTTTACCTTTGTTGAACTTGTTTTTCTTTTCCAGGTTGGTTTCTGGAAGTGGAGACATCAAGCTCACTAAGGATGGCAATGTTTTGCTGCATGAAATGGTAAAAATTGTAGCAAATTATGCAAAAGTATAAAATGTTTACTTTATCGGCCTGAAAGTATGTAATACCGACTCTTGATATTTTCTTTACAATTCAATTCATGATAAAAATCTTGGTAAATTTTTTAAAAGTTCAAATCTAGTTTATTCAATGAGGATATGTTTTTATAATAATAAACTTTTAAACAAATGATATAGATCTAAGCCCTCCACATGCTACTTTATTGAATAAAGTCAAAATAACAAAGAAACAATCATTAAGTTACGTTTGACTCACTGTTTTCATACAAATAAAAATTGAAGTGATTGCCATACCAGATTGTGAGATAAATTATAAATGTATCTTTCATCCCTCAAAATGATGAGTGTGGTTGTATTTTGAACGAAGGGCATCAAACTTTTTTTCAAAATCATGTTGGCATATTGCTAGGTATTATACATTTATTTATAAAGTAGAGATGTCAGATGTCATTATATTGTCCTCATTAAATTTAGATAAGAAACTACCAGTTATCAAATTTATTTAGAAATTTTCTTAGTTATTTTATATTCTTTTAAAATAAATGTATTGGCATTGTCTCTAGGGGTCGGCAAAACCACATATTACATGTATGAGCAAAAATAATGTTTGAGTAGTAACTTGTAAAGGGGGGGGGGGGGATTGATTCTTTGGAAAACTGAAGAAATCCAAAGAGCTATGGCAACTACATGTAGGAAAACAGTTTTCCAGTGTTAAATTAAATACTTTATTCTATCCAAAAAAATAAGGAAAAATTACTAATTAGCAAATTTCATTTAACAAAATCAATTTTGTAAGTAACAGGAGAAAATATGAAATGCAAAGTTTTACAATAGAAAAGAAATTGTAGCAGATTAAACATACATGTACCATAATTTGCACACAATGAGTATGAGTCCAGTTCATAATCCCCCATTTCCACACTCTTTGTCTTACAGCAAATCCAGCATCCCACTGCATCCATGATTGCCAAGGTAGCCACTGCTCAGGATGACATCACCGGAGATGGGACAACCTCCAACGTTCTCATCATCGGAGAGCTTCTCAAGCAGGCTGATCTCTATATCTCAGAGGTAAAAATGGGAAGAAGATATCCCCTAAAAATTGATAATAAATGTGGATTAAAAAAACAACTCCTTGAAGCACAGGAAAACTCAGATTCAGACAGATGGGAAATGCATTTATAATGGCAATTTAATTGCTTCAAGGAGGATTTGTCTTGTTTCAACCAATAGTTTTCTTCCTTTTTTTCATAATTTGAAAATATTATGTATTATCGTATGGTGGCCTTTGATTTAAAAAAACATAATAAATGAAGTCTTTATGTTCAACTGAATGGTAATATGCACTCTCCTTTCTGTGATGTGATGACATAATAATACTCAACTCTACTAGAGAAAAAATTGTTTTCTTGTTCATGTCATATTGCTAATAAATGCATACACTGTACATCTGTCAACTAAAGTTTCTATAAAAATTTGAATTGAAACTGAACTGAATAAAATATCTAAATTAAGAATCTCATTGGTGATGAGTGATATCGTATGGTATTCTGTAGGGATTCCATCCAGGCATTGTGACTGAGTGGCTTGAGTTCTTGAATGAGAAGGAAATAAAGACAAAGATGAAGTATTTAGATTTTAGAATCACATTGACGAAAAGTGATATATACATGTATTTTGTAGGGACTCCATCCACGCATTGTGACTGAGGGTTTTGAGTTGGCCAAGGAGAAGGCATTGGACACCCTAGAGAGCGTCAAGGTTACCCAGGAGATCAACAGGGATCTTCTCATCAGTGTGGCAAGCACCTCACTACGTACCAAGGTTCACCCTCAGCTGGCTGACCTACTCACCGAGGTAAGGGCCGGAGACTTGCGGCTTTGTCCACAGAAGATGACCTGGGGCCCATCAAATAGAAAGTTGATATTAATCGCAAGTTATTTGCGATTGATATTAATCGATGTACGGTCGACACTATATGGGCTCCAAGATTCTTTCATTAATACTAGCTAGCTAGCTAGCTAAACCTGTGCCATGCACACATGGTAACTGTTAGGGTTAGTGATAGGGTTATAATGATCATGCAAACCCACCTTTCATCAACCCATCGTAAATTCATGCTCATTTCTCTATGTACATGAAATTGGTAACATAGGAGACATGAAATTACCAAATACATGTACTTTGAACTTTTCCAATTTTCTTCAATACAGAAATTTCATTGACAAAAGAGACATTTTTTAAAGAAAGCATGAAGATTTGAAGATTATTCAGTGAGAGTAAAATTGAGATGTTTGTTATTGGAGCCATGTATATGATAACTCATTCAGATTGTTGATGTTGATGTTCTTGGTTAAATGTATCAATTCTCCATGACCTAGGTCATCTGACCCGCTGTAGATCAAGTCTTCTGGGTTTTTTAATGTTTCTAGAAGCACACTTAAAATAGAATCATGCATCTCAAATAAGATACGGTACGGACACCAATATCGTTTGAATACATGGTACAAAATAAATTTATGTTACCGATCTCTTAAAATACACACAGCTAACACACTAATATTGATTGAATACACGTTATAAAAATGAATTTCTATTAGATGTTCTCTCACACACACGCACCAAAATAGTTTTGAAAACTGTGAACCATATATATATATATATATATATCTTGACACTTGGTCCCATGCATGCATTTCCGTGTCCTTACATCCACAGGTGGTAGTGGATGCAGTGCTAGCCATCCAGAAGCCCAACGAACCCATTGATCTACACATGGTTGAGATCATGCAGATGCAGCATCGTAGCGACACCGATACCTCCCTGGTACGAGGCCTGGTGATGGACCATGGAGCCAGGCATCCTAACATGAAGAAACGCGTTGAGAAGTCCTACATTCTTACCTGCAATGTGTCTATGGAATACGAGAAGAGGTACGTCACGGCTTGCTATTACCAATGTAGTGTAAATCGTTAGGAGGCATCATCTTTTATATTCAGGACTTGTTTTTTATGGGATTACTGCCATGAATCTAAATTGAACTGGTGGTAAATTTTTGTTAGAAAATCATGATGATTCTGAATTTCTGATGCCGTGAGTGAATATGGTTGCCAGCTACTTTTGATTATATATTTGGACACACATCAGTGTACCTCAGGGGATTAAACTCCTACCTCTTTGTCCCACATTAACTGTTGATTTGATAAAATTATTCCTGGTGTTGGCTGACGAACTGCAAACAGGGAGAAGTATTTTTATACAACTTTTCATTTGTTTGCAGTTTCAACACTAAGTAAAGGAGTTCCAATGGGTATTACAGATTTTTTTTTAAACAAGCCAACATGAAAACAGCGAAAGATGATAATTTGTCCTTTATATTGCAGAGCTGGTGGGGAAGGGAAAATTAGCAGAAATTCACATCAGAAGTACCACTTTCCTTTTAATTGATATTCAAGTATGCCAAGTTTTTAGTCAATCAACCAGTTGGTGCCAATTTTAGAATTTACCTTTGACTTGCGGATAGTGTTGCTTCCATCAAAGCACAAAACAGATCTCTTCACTTCGTGTATCTTTGGTCATTTTCCTCTGTACAGTGAGGTGAATGCCGGATTCTTCTACAAGTCTGCCGAGGAGAGGGAAAAGCTTGTCCAGGCCGAAAGAGCTTTCACTGACGAGAAGGTCCAGAAGGTCATTGACCTCAAGAGGAAGGTCTGCGAGGGAAACGACAGAGGATTCGTTGTCATCAACCAGAAGGCATGTATAATGATAATAATAGTTGGTTGTTTATTCAGAAATGTGGCTGAAATTTACTTTATATTTACAAAACTACTTGTATGATCAAATAATACACTGAATAGAATCGTATCTGGCAGACATGAGCGCTATACAAGAACCCACTAGTATAATCATTAGTATATCATTTTAATATAAATGAACATTAATTCAAATCTCTTCATGCAAATATGAATAGTACTCGCATGTGTGTCTACCATTGAAATGAGTGGTGCTTTTTAAACTATATAGGTGAGGGATCAAAAATAATTTGAGGCTTTATTAGGGTTTAGGGTTAAAGCTTCACCTTAACAAGCCTATGGGAATAAAAGTATTTAGTAGCTGATGGGTTAATTGACCAGCTTGCTAATGATGAGCTATCATCCTACCTACATTGTTTGAGAAATACAATGAGAACACAGTATGAATTCTGATGATGCAGATTGGTCAAACTTACATTTACCGGTATTGTGATTTTTAAAAGACTGAGTCGAGTTCTCTCCATGCGGGTGCATTGTCAAAGAAACTGTAAGACAGCAGTTGGTAAAGTTTGATTGTGTATTACATCAAAACCGATGTGTGCTGGGAAGTTTGGGAATCATTAATTTTTTAAACCTGGATTTATGGAGTATTTGAGTCAACAAATTCTGATGAATGTACAGGTTACCCAAACACATCATTATGGACATTAACTTATACTGAAACAATGTTCAAACCAAGAGTTATCTTTTAAGCTATTTTGTAAAGCTTTGCATAAATGACAGCTTGACAACCAGACAGATTTGTTTTCTCCTTAATTTGATTAGATAGACTAATATGTGAGGAACTAAATTTCATTTGTATGTTCTTCATAGATAGAGGAGTGGGGTCGTTTTTATATTTTGTTCAGTTTTACTAGAAAATGTAAACTAGGACTGTAGAAATTAAGAATATGGGGCCAGTCACCACGAAATGAGTCCAGTGTAGCATTAGGCTCAATCGTAGTAATAGCGATGTATAGTGTGTTTTAGGCCTGAGTCATGTCGGTATTTTCATAAACCGGGTCCCGACGGCCTTGCACCGATCGGGACCCGGTGTCCCGAAATCAGCTCGCAGGATTTGTCACTTGCCTCTATAAAAAGCGCATATCATCAGTATGTCCCTTAAAAGTGACCTTTTTTATCAGTCAAATAAATCAACACATGCATACCTCGGCACAGATCGGTATATTCTTCCATTTGACATTATTTTTATCCATGATTGGCGATGTTTAGTGCCATTATCGTGCCTCTAAAAGTAAGAAAACTGGAGCAAAAATAGAATGACAACGATCGAGCCGCCATTTTGATTCATGCAGGTTGAATAAATCGGGTCAAAAAACATTAATGTTTGAATAATAAAACGGCTTTCTAAAAAGTACTCCTTTACAACATACCGATCGAATAATTTTTAAAAACAAAAAAGATATTTTTTCTTTGATTTTGAACACCGCATGCTTCTTTTAAAAGCTGAAAATTACTTGGTAATCACAAGAAGTTTCGATACGGATAGCCGTTGCAAGGCATGTTCAGACTAGTCTCGGAAAAATGCGCAGTGCTCCTTGTTAGCTGTAATGCGTGCCAGAACGAACCCAAACAAAGACGTGATCGTAACGAGAAAAAAATCATTAAAAACTACGAGAGCACAATTGGAAAGACAACTACTGCTCAAAATTACGATAATCAGATAATTAACTTAGACAAAGAATTCAATAATCGCCCAAGAAATGCCAAAGAAATTGTGATAATCGAGGAGTAACTGGGTACATTTTTATTGCAAGGGGCTTGCTGCAAATACTCGAATCCTTTGTTATACTGCTTTTTACCGTAGAGGGCGTTATTTGGTTTCTAGCCTCGTGTTAGAACACGAGGCTAGAAACCAAATAACGCGTAATTCGGACATATATCAGCAGGCCCATTCCGATAATGATTGTACCTATAGTAACTCCTTAAATATCACTATTTCTGTGGCTTTTCTTGGACAACTATTGTATTATTCCTCCAAGTTATTTATCTGCTTACGATAATTTTGAGTAGTTGTCTTTCTAATTGTGCTCTCGTAGTTTTTAATTATTTTTTCTCGTTACGATCACGTCTTTGTTTGGGTTCGTTCTGGCACGGATTACAGCTAACTACGAGGAGCACTGCGCATTTTTCCGAGACTAGTCTGAACTTGCCTTGCAACAGCTATCCGTATCGAAACTTCTTGTGATTACCAAGTAATTTTCAGCTTTTAAAAGAAGCATGCGGTGTTCAAAATCAAAGAAATAATATCCATTTTGTCTTTTAAAAATTATTCGATCGGTATGTTGTAAAGAAGTACTTTTTAGAAAGCCGTTTTATTATTCAAACATTAATGTTTCTTTCAACCTGATTTATTAATCCTGCCGAGAGACCCGGCCAGTACAGTAGCTAGCTAGCAGCTGGCAACAACAACCCCATGCAGCGTACTGCTTTGCAACCCATATTTATATCAGCAGTTCGGATTGATTCAGGATGAGCTAGAATATGATTGGTAACAATTAAATACTTAAGTTTCAAGGTGGAATGATTTTAGTGGTGTGCAAAACTGCAATTTCTTACATATTTCATTATTTTTTTTCGGAGCGTCGGTTCTCAAAAAACGAAACCGGGACCCGACGGCAACGGTCGGGTCCCGGTGTGATCGACCGTACCGACTCAAGCCTAGTGTGTTTGTACTGAAAATTGACCCACCTACCACATTTAAGATTTTTCCAAAAATCGACTTATTATTTCCTTGTTTGTTGAAAGTTTCATTGAAATCGAATGATGGGAAGTGTGTTGTCGCTATGTTGTTGTTGACCAGACTATAATATGTTACGCATCATTAACTTTATACCTAATTATCTCAAAACTGGGTAATCCCATTGTTATAAAGTCCAATTAGGTTTTTGTTCATATTTCTGGATATAATTTATCAATTTTAATGTGTGACCCCTTAATTTAAAGCTTAATGTAGATTCATATGTGACCCGCTACGGCAAAACCCGACGCTTCTCGGCAAATCCCATTGTGTTGTAGGCCCGTTTGAACATGAAATTTCGAATTTAGGGATCAACTGAGATTTTGCATGGTCAGAAAGTCTATTTTTTATAAATTGATTTAGAGAAAAAATGAACTCAAAAGACGATCTAGAAGTATTTTTAATTATATTTTGTATCTAATCATGTGCTCCATTGTCCAGTGAAATTAGTTGAAACAATGCGGTCAAAAGAGGGGAAAGTTCGCGATTCATCGCTTGTTGTTTTCCCTCTCAGTTTATCACGTTTGAGTCGATCCCTGACGTACTTGGTACGAAAATAACGAGAAAGGATCGGTTATTCCAAATATGGTTATATTGGGCGGTCCTAAATAAAATTGCCCAATGAAAAATGCCATAAAAGATGACATCATTTCGATAAGCTGTCAAGCAGGCCGTAAACAAAAGCCCGTTGCCAGCCACGTGATCCAAATCCAGACACTTGATTCGCCAATATTCGCACATGACGTCATTGCCTTGTTGTTGTGATTGTTCAGCGGTCAAATTCTCGCATCGAAACACCAGCTTTTTCTTCGAAAACTTGTTCAGAAGTTTGTTTTTAATGAGCTAGAGTTTCATATATCAAGTGAAATACGTGTATTCGTCGAGTGGCTAGTACAATGTCGAGGAAAAAGAGGAATTTAACGGATAAAACCGTCGCTTCTTTGTTGAATGATGCATCGGCGTGCGGTATGGACGTGCATGGCTTGACCGAACACTTGGCTGACTACTTCGCGAACCCGACCTATCAGCCCCTGGCCGCGGGCGAGAGAGGAACTCCTTCTTCTCCTAGGCCTAGCTCCGACTCTGAATCTGGTAGGTTTATTAATATTATCATTATTAAAAAGGTAATCAAGTTACTTAATTAGGTCTACGCCCATATTATTTATTAAAGACTTGTTTCGAGAAAAAAATGTTCGAGCAACAAAAGCTAGATTACTTTATTTTAAGTGCACTAATTAAAATTTATAGGCCTAATTAAATTAGATTATGATTTATGAAGCTTCTCATACCGATAAAAAAAATCTCTGCGGAGTCTAGACTTCTTGTTGATATTAGTTTTTGAATCTCTATTTTATAATTGTACTTAACAGAGTCTGATGAGTTCGAGGAGGCAGGTCCAGGACCAGCAGAGCCTTGTGAAAGCCGCGATGAAAGCGGCGATGAAAGCGATTGGGTCGATGAGGCAGAGGAGCCTATGGATTTGTCAAGTGACAATGAAAGCGTCATACGGAGACCGGGTCCTGTCATTGATGACGTGGAGGAGGAGGCGGCAGCGGCTACAAATCTGGCCCAACAAATAGATCTTGATCTGGAACCGCTGAAGGATCGCGTGAATAAATGCAACTGCCGTATCTTCAATGGAAGACGCTGTATAGAACAATTCTCTGTAGCCGAACAAGAGTCCATAAGGTATGATTGGATCTGTCACTATTTACTCCTATTTCTTTAAAATAATGTCTAAGGACTGGATGTTTATGTACAAGCTGCAGTTTAATGCAAAATATAGTTACATTTATTCTAAGCTAATTAGATTTTCTCCTTTTTTGCAGCATTAATCAGTAGACCCTGAATATGTATGCTTTTATAAAATACTTCACCACTAAACTGCAGTCTACTGGTATCTTATGAAGAAAAAAATACAACAAGTTGGACATTTGGTTTTCTTATTATCATTATTATCATTGGAAGTAGATACTAGTAGCATTATTATTTTTCATTTCTATTTTGCCATTTCAGATATTCAACCAAAGAGCTCACGGAGTTCGAAAAGGATTTACTTCTCCTGGGTATCATTTCGTCTTCCATCAATGATGGAAATATGACCCAGGGGAAGAAATCTAAGCCAACGGAGAGGAAAAACACAAGGATGCGGAATTTTTGCTATGGGCAGAAACGGATCTGTAGATATACGTTTTTCTACTTGATGGAGATTGGGCCACAGAAGTTTACGAATAGCTCAAGAAGTGGTATGCCAGCAATGGACTCATCCCAAGGAGAAAGAAGTCAGGTGAGGTGGTTTTCTTATCCTTTCACAGATGATGAAATTTATAATGAAGTTAACATTATTTTAATTACATTTATATTGAATTATTATTATCTTCAGGTGTGACTTCATAATAATTTGTATTATCATTTTGTGATGCATTTAGTCATAGTAAATCTACCAAAGGTTAATTGCGATGGGTTTTTTTACAGTTATTTTCACTACAACTGGACTCAAAACTTGACATCTAATCCCTCTACTTACTGTTTCAATCTATTCCGACACAATACTGATCATAATAAATCTTACTTTTGTTCAATATTTGTTCATTGTTTTCCAGGAGGACGGAGAGGCAAGAAACTTCTCAAGCTAGAGCAGGTAGAGGATGTCGTCAAATTTATTTTGAATTTCACCGCAGAACACTGCATTCACCTACCAGGCAGGATACCAGGGTTCAAATCGGCTGATGTGAAACTGCTGCCGTCCTACGTCACCAAGGCGCATCTGTGGAGGCTCTACAGAGATGCTGCTCCAGAGCATGGACCCGTAGCTGAGTCTACCTTCCGAAAGCTGTGGAGCGACCTTCTCTCCTATGTGGTTGTTGCCAAGCCGGCCACGGATCTCTGCTGGACATGTCAGCAGAACAACAACCTTATCACCAGACAGGTGTGTGTTGGCTAAATACCGATTGTTTTAAATTTCATTTTGTTTTACGCTGCTGCCCCCAATGGTGCTAAAGTATTTTCACGTAGAGTTATAATATACATGTATGTAGCTATTAATGTACCAAGCATAATCAATATTATAATTTGGATCCTTAGGAAAACGTTACAAAGCTCTGTCCAAATTTCAGGTGTTTTAATGAAATGAAATTTGCTACAATACATTTACTCTTTTCTTCTTCCAAGTCAACCAACTTTTACTTTATTGTGAGCTGGTGTTTTCCATTTGAGAATGATCTACTTTGTAGTGTAACAAAAAATATTTAATTTGTAAAGAAAAATAGTAGATGAGAAAATTCGACTAATCAGGAGATTTTTGTTTTGTTTTGCTTTTTCCCTCATGTCTGCAGGTCAATGTTCCTGATGAAGAGAAGACAGAGGCACTCAGGAGGCAGGAGGAGCATCTTCTGGAGGCCCAGAGAGAGCGGGATGCCTACAGGACAGCCTGTCAAGCCTCAAAGGCAGTCGCGAGAGAGCATTCTATCAAGAAGCTAGGGAAAAATGCTGCGAACTCCAAGCCTGTAGTTTTTCATTACAGCTTCGACTTTGCACAGCAAGTGCATTATCCAGCTGACCCCCAACAACCTGGCCCTTCGTATTTCCGTACACAAAGAAAGTGCCACATCTTTGGCATGGCTGCAGAGGGTCTGCCTGCTCAAGTTAATTACCTTGCAGATGAGGGCGTCAGCTGTGGTAAAGGAGCCAATGTTGTTGTAAGCTACATCCACCATTTTCTGGAAAACTACGGGATTGGAGAACAACATGTGCACTTCAATGCTGATAACTGTGCTGGACAGAATAAGAATAACACCATGCTCCAATATCTCTGTTGGCGTGTGGAGAGTAATCTCCACAAATCTGTCTCAATTTCATTTTTGCCAGTGGGACATACTAAATTCGCCCCTGACTGGTGCTTTGGCCTCCTCAAACAAAGGTACCGCAAGACCAAAGTCTCCTGCCTCCAGGACATAGTTAATGTTGTAGATTCTTCTACTGTGTCAGGGGTCAATATTCCACAGCTCGTTGGAAATGAGAAGGGGGATGTGTTTGTGAAGGTGTACGACTGGTCCAACCATCTTGGCAAACACTTCAAACGATTTCCTCGTATAACATTCGCCAGACACTTCAGAGTTACTGAAGATCATCCTGGTAGAGTGTTTTACAAGGAAAAGTCTGACAGTGCTGAAGAGATGTTTGACCTTGCTCGCTCGTCACCTCCACCAACACTTCCTCCACTCATCCAACCTGCAGGACTTGATGCCAGTCGCAGGAAATATTTGTATGAGCAGATCAGAGAGTTCTGTACGCCAGAGACTAGGGACTTGGTATGTCCAGCACCAGAGTAGCTTGGGTCAAACCATAAACTTTAGGTACTTAAATTCCTCTAGGACGTATTCAGCATTGAAGTGTACAAAGTATTTTTTCTGTCTACATGTAATAAGTAGCAGTCACTTTGTCCACTTTAGTTTCTGCCATTTCAGTTCAGCAATATAATAGCTTGGGTCAAACCATAAACTTTAGGTACTTAAATTCCTCCAGGACGTATTCAGCATTGAAGTGTACAAAGTATTTTTTCTGTCTACATGTAATAAGTAGCAGTCACTTTGTCCACTTTAGTTTCTGCCATTTCAGTTCAGCAATATAATAGCTTGGGTCAAACCATAAACTTTAGGTACTTAAATTCCTCCAGGACGTATTCAGCATTGAAGTGTACAAAGTATTTTTTCTGTCTACATGTAATAAGTAGCAGTCACTTTGTCCACTATAGTTTCTGCCATTTCAGTTCAGCAATATAATAGTTCCATGTGTTCATTTATTCTAAGCTTGATGCATATCAGCACTTAACATCAGCACTAAATTATCGGTGTTTGGCCACTGCCATATGTTTCTATTTGTAAAGGTTTTTGTTAGATTGACATTAACAATGTCTATCCTATGTACATACTATTGATCTCTTCGGCTGTGAATTTTGTATGAAACGAGATAACTCAAAAGATTCAAAACTGTACATCATTAATTCTTGGGCACTAATGCATAATAGTTCATGATTAGTGTAGTCACTAGTCAGATTGCATTTTTTATGGGATTCGTTATTGTTTTTTCTTTACGTTGATAATGAAAGAATAATTATTTTATATCTGATACTGATTGACTGAAATTGATATTTTTGCATTATTAATCTCTATCTCAAGAAGACAATAGTTCTGTCAAATTGTCTCAACTGTTACTTTATTGTACATTCCTTAATGTACCAGGATATTTTTTACAATACATGTATTATAGGTTATCTGTTGTCGAGTGACTTATAAGTTTTTTTGTTTTTTTTTTAATCTCAAATAGCCTTGATTAAGACTAATGCTTTTTATCATAGCTTTTATTAAATATGACAAAATATAAATCATTTTGAACTCGCTTCTTGTGTTCCAGTAATTATCATTTAAAAAACAGATTCTGTCGGGTTTCAAGTTCAACGCAATTTGTTATTTCACTTTATTGCAATCTTTTTTTTAATATATTTAAAAAAAAAAAATCATTTTTATTACATCTGGTTTTGTAATAGGCCTATTATTAAGCATAAATTTTAAGAAAATGCATTATTACATTTTATTATTGCAACATTGATGTAACCTGCTATTATTTTGTGTACGAGAACAATTTTGTACTGATGAAACATAATAAACTGTGGAATTGTTTTCCCAGCAACTTTGCCTAGTATAACAAAAACTTTGAAATTCTTTTGTTTTCTATTGTTTTTAAAAATTATCATAACTTTATTAATATTTATTCAAATCTAATGGTTTTAACAGAAATGTAAGTTGGGTATGTGTCAAGTATGCCTGAAAAATTACAAGACTTTAGCTTGTTTGGTTGATGCCGTTGCTATGGAGTGAATGTGTGCATGTTTTTTGTGTGAAAATTGAACCAAATTCTTAACTTTAAACCTCAATATCTCATAATTAACTTCCGGTGATTGAAATCACAAAAATGACAATAACTTTGTCAAATTTGAATCAATTTCTTTAAATGAGGTATCATATTAAAGGTCATACCTTACTCTTTCCAATGACACCAAGAACTCAATTTTCATTTTTACCATGAAGTGTTGGGTTTTGCCATAGCAGGTCACATATAATACTTAAAAACAGGAATAAAATTTTTGACCAACTGGACTCATTTCGTGGTGACAGGCCCCATATATGTTTTTTTTTATTGCTTCAAAAATATTTTCGAACAATGAATATTGTTAGTTTGGAATGTTTTCAAAATGTTAATACATTAAAAACTATAAGATTCATATTGGGTTACCTTTTTGAGCAATTTATATGTAATGTTCTGTCATTGTTGCTATCTTCACAGGGTATTGATCCTCTATCCTTGGACATGCTTGCCAAGGAGGGCATCATGGGCCTCCGTAGGGCCAAGAGGAGGAACATGGAGAGGTAGGTTAAACAGTTGATATAATCCTGGTATGACTTAAATGTTGCCACTTTCACCAGTATAAAGGACATTGTAGTAGCAACGCCAAACTGACTCCACACTAACCTTAAACTGAACCATTCTTGGCTCTTCAAGGCAATGTAATTGTGTGTTTGGTCTATATTGGGTCTCGGTGTGACTGGGGCATCACTGAAAAGGGGATTTTCTTGCATGCATATTTCAAATTTAAGTAGTATTAGTTGTATGATAATAAGCATGACAAATAACAGTACTTTGGACCAATTTTAATGCAACGTGTATGTCTTGTGCCATATACCCATTTCTGTTCGTAGTAGGGTTACTATACACTGTTTTCTATAAGATTTGGTCATCGCTGATCTGAAAACCATACAATACATTATCAGTCATATGTACTACAGAATCAACTTTTGTCTATAAACCATTACATTTTTTCACAATACAATCCTATGACCAGCAATCGACCTCATTATCAATTGTCCTTATTGACTAATTTGTGACAGGTTGCCCCTGGCTTGCGGTGGTGTAGCAGTGAACTCCTTTGATGACCTTACCCCAGACGTTCTAGGAGAAGCCGGACTCGTCTATGAACATGTCTTGGTAAGTAGTACAGGGGAAATAGTCTCTGTGTATAGAGCTAATTGAAGGCTGTTGTGTCCAGTGATATTCAATCAGTGGGGAATTGAAATCTGCAAAAATTAATTTTTGTTCTTATCTTCGGAAATGGAAGGAAAAAAATCATCAAAGTATGAATACCCTTAAAAATGGCAAAGGACCATCATCTAACAAATTGTGGCCCCATTTCACAAAACTTGTCATCAGTGACATATGACAGTTTTTGTTACAAGCTAGTAAAATCCTTGATTCTGATTGGTTATCAGCAAATTTGTCACTGATTTTAGTCATTTGTCATTGAAACAGGGATGCCAGTTTTCAGGCCCTGGCAAGTTATTATCAGACCATAGTTAAGGCTTTTTTGTGTACAAAATAGCTCATTCTAGGTGATTTTCAGGCCCTCTGATCGATTCTAACTGGCATCCCTGATTGAAAGAAGGCTTTGTGAAAAGGGTCCCTAAAGTTCAGGTTATAATCATGATGAATTGGAATGTGATATGATGAAATATGTATTTGACCTGAGATATAGTATTAAATTTGATGACATGAACATCCTGTGGTAACCAGGCTAAAGCTAGAGTAATAACTTACTTTGATTACTTCCTTCTTTGTGCGAAGTTGCAACAACTGGAATTCAGTTCATCAAAAAAGTGTAAACCAGTTCAAATTTATCCTTTGGAAATATTGGTACAGCCACCCCCTTAAGTACAGTCCATACCAGAGAGATGGCATTACCTGGAGGGGCAAATAAGGATATCTTTATGCCTCGACACGGGAGTAAATATCGAAGTTAATAATGATGGTCAGGGCTGTAGCGGCATAATGTTAATGAATGCTGTTCAAGAAACTAATACTACTATTGCCATTATCATCTTTGTAGGGAGAGGACAAGTACACATTCATCGAGGAGTGCAAGAACCCCCAGTCTGTGACCATCATGATCAAGGGACCAAACAGACATACCCTGACTCAGATCAAGGATGCTACACACGATGGCCTCAGGGCCGTCAAGAATGCCATCGATGATGGTAAGTACTGCTTCTTGTACTCCCAACGCTGTTTACTGTAAGTGTAGAAGTTGTAATTTGGTGGTATTTTAATAGGAGCCACTGGTCTGGTCTTGGGATTAAACAGAAACACCCTTACTCTGATCAAGGATGCTACTCACGATGGCCTCAGAGCTGTCAAGAATGCCATTTTGTGTAATTCGTAAACCCCAACAATTTCTAGCACTTTATTTAAAGAGATAATCATTTAAGATAATCTGTGATGTAAAATTACATTTTGAACCTATCACAGAATGATGTACAGCAAATTAATTACGTGAATATTCTTATGCTTGAGAATATATTTCAGATGCTGATACATACATCTACATGAAAATATATAAACAAATTTAAAGAGTTTAAAAGACTTAAAATGGTAGGATATTCTGATGATCTTTGATTCAACCTCATCAGTAGTTATGCAGCAGCAAATATTCATCATTAAAATGGCAAGAGACGGCATGGTGGGGGTTAAAGAAAGATGTTCTAATGATGTCTGGTATGTGTTCTCCCTGACCTGTGTTATATGTGTTGTGTACTAAGCTGATCTCACTTTTAAAATTGCTGTGAAGCAGGTTATCCCCTCATGTTGGTAAGGGGCTTTATTTGTATTGACATCCATGCTGAGGCCAATAGAATGTAAGTCAGAACCAGGGGGATGTTTCACAAAGATCCTTGATAATAAGAATATAAGAATGATTTGAATCAATATTTTATGCCCATTAAAACTACTTTTACTAAATATTTTCAAAGATGCTAACAGCTTTCCATAATTATTAAGTCCAACTTAGAGATAAGTTCAACTTAGGATCTTTGTGAAACGCCCCCAGATATACAATGATTGACCTTCTGTATCGCTCCTCTTGCAGGTTCTGTGGTGCCTGGAGCTGGTGCCCTGGAGGTAGCCATCTACGCTACCCTCCAGAAGTTCAAGGAGACTGTCAAGGGTCGTGCTCGGCTTGGTGTCCAGGCCTACGCCGAGGCCCTACTGGTGATCCCCAAGGTCCTGGCCCAGAACTCTGGTCTGGATGCACAGGAGACCATGGTCAAGCTACTGGAAGAGTATGCAGAGTGTGGGCAACCTGTCGGCGTGGACATATCTTCGGGTCAGTCACATTTATTTGCGTATTCATTGTGTATTTATATATATATTTATCAAACAGTTTTTTAATCGGGAGTCATCGAATGAAAATATAAAAATGGACTACTACTGATCCCTACATAACATAAAGATTTAGATACTACCAACACATAATTAACAATACAAAAACAACAAACAACGAAAAACATTTCAAAAGACTAAAATATGAAAAGAGTAATCCTTTCTTGGTTTCATTTTTTAATAACGGTTTATGTAAATAAGAAACCTCGAATGATATGTGTAAAGAGTAATCCTCTTTTCTTTTTGCAACAGGTGAAGCTGTAGTTGCAGCAACAGCAGGCATCTGGGACAACTACTGTGTGAAGAAACAGATTCTTCATTCCTGGTAAGTGTGACCCAAACATCACTATACCCTGAAATCAGTCGCTGATGAATTAATTCACAGTAAATCCAGTATTAGTTAGTTGAAGTGGGAATTGGTCAAGACAAGTGAAAGCATATTTTGACACACTTCAAACCTACACACTTGTGTCAAGTTTCTTTTTGATAGATGCATCTAGCAATACATAATTATAAACTCATTGGTTCTTATTCCGCTATTTGAGTTCAACCGGGCCTTAAGGAGGGGGGGGGGGGGGGGGGGGGGTCTAAGATCACATCTAACAAATTAGAACTCACTCCAACTTCCTTTGTTAAAGTGACTCAGTAACATTGCCTCAGATTCTGAAACAAAATCCTGGATTAAGCTCATGCTGCAACCAAAATTATAAACCTTTAGGTCAGTCAGGAAACCCATGACTTTTACAAACCGATCGCCTGTCTGATTATCAAGATATTAATGATTAAAAGTCAAAATTTCATTTTGGGTTTTCCTAACAGTTTTCATAACACTACAGTCTCTTAGGGAAAACTAGTATGGTAAAACCGGTCACTGAAAGATTTTTACTTTTTTAAGGCACTTCTTGATCATTTTGAAGCACAATTTTTGTAGGGCTTCAATATTTCACCATATCACAGACACTGATAACACGTAGGGCCGTGCATCTCAGATTTAACATTGTTAAATGATGCCTTTAAGAGTAAATTTATCTTTGACATAAAAGATCACACAATAATCACTGTATTTTTCTCTCGTACTCTATCTTTCACAGTACCGTCATCGCAAGCAACCTCCTGCTCGTAGACGAGATCATGAGAGCCGGGTTATCATCGCTCAAAAATGGAGGAGGTTAATTCCCCCTTCCCTGGTCTACACGTCTAACCAGCTTAAGTCATAATATTGTCATGAATAGATGTTTTTTGTTTCAATCGCCAAATGCCCATTCATTCATTCATTGTCTTCAAACTTTCTGGTCTGTTGAATTACTGAAGAGATACTTGTGAAAATGTTCTCTGACACAGTTGTACGTCATTTCACCAATACAGTCAAACCTGCTATAGTGACCACTTATCTACAAAATCCACCTGTCTACAACAAGCACATGTTTTGTTTTCCTTGAAAATGGTTTCTGATTGAAACATGTACTAAAGGAACCTGTCTACAAAGACCACTTTTTGTGTTTCCAATGGGCGGTCGCTGTAGACAGGTTTGACTGTATATTGAAACTTAACGTAGGATCAACTTTGTAGGCATTCTTGTAACCTGTACCTCACTAATGAACTCTTCCATCATTTCTACGAGTCATTTATGAAATCCAGTTGTTGCGATAATGTTTTCATATTCATAGTCCTTAGAAAACAAAAGGGGTGTACAGTCAAACCGTTTTTGGCGTCCCCCTCTATATAAAGGCAACCTGTTTATAGTGGTCACCTCTATTTCCTCCTTGTGTAAGGAAACATGTGCTGAAGAACCTGTCTATAAAGGCCACCTGACTACGGTGGACACATTTTGTCTTCCTTGGGTGGCCTTAATAGACAGGTTTGACTGTATTTATATTCTTCTTGCCTCTGAAGGCTTGAAGTTGATAGAAACCATGTCATGTGGACATTATCATCACCACTCAGGACACTTTCTGTAGTGTTTCGTTGATTGCGCATCCTAACAAGATATATTTTATTGAGATATCTGCATTCGCTCCCATTGATTATGTCTTACCTATTTGTTTATAATATGTTACTTACCTCAAATGCCTCAGTGATGTAGAATGGAAACCAAAGTCGTTCACAGTCCCTGTAATCAGGTGCTACTAAAAACCATATATCCAGTTTGTTAGCTATTGAATGAATGGGCATTTTGTGAGGAGTCGAGTGTGTGACAATGCAACAGTTTTTGCACTGTCTACTTTTTGTTAATAATATTTCTTTCTTTTTTGGCATTAATGTTGAGGAACGTCACATATATTTAAGCTGATATTTGCTACCGTGATGTAAGGCAGAAAACGTGTTGTGAGAGACCCAGTATAATAATAGAATTCACTGAAAACCTAAGGCTTCGATGAATTTGATGTAACTACCAGTAAATTTGACATGCATTTGTGCATTATTTTCTGGAGTTTTACTCTGGTATATGACACATTTTTGTGTATCGTAAGTTCATTCCTGGAGCGCAAACATTCTAATGCATTTTTTTTACACTTAATGTGATTACATCTCTGGTAAATGCACATGTAGTTGGTCCCATATGATATCACTTGTTTGTAATCTTGTCCAACAATCTTTGTGAATTGACTGGCAAAACTTCAGTCAAATATTGCTGATATTGCTCACTTTATATTTGTAATATTCTAAATACATGTATACCCCTCCCCCAGCAAGTTTAAGACAGTACTCACAGAAATTGTCAGTGTTTGGGGTTATGGGATAAGGCATCCAAACTGCCAATTCCAATAACAAACTCCTCTTAATGAGAAAACAGTATGATAGTACTTTAGACTTGCAAATCAATTGCAATAAAGCTTTATTATATGATGATGGAAATGATGTGTCTTTTTTTTTTAGTACCATGTAATCTGAATGCTGTGAATTGTCGGTTATGATTAAATTCTTGTTTTGACACTGTGCAAATTAAGATGGCAAATGATATATATTATGTTTGGGTGTTTTTCATTTTCATCTTCGTACCAGTTAATAGCTTTTTTCGTAATGTAATCAAATTTAATCCATAAATCTTTGTTACGTTTCTGGTCACATATTATTCCACTCACTTGTTATGAACAATTGTATTTTAAGAGTCCGAGTGTGAATTGCATATTAGTTACGTGTTGCTAGGTAGGGCAATACATGTTTGTCCTACCTAGCAACAACTAATGTATGCAATTTGCATTCTGACAATTATTCATAACGGTGGATGAAATAATATGTGAAGAGGCACTTTAAAGACGTATGCACTAGATTACGATACGAAAGTTGCCTATTATCTAGGCAGATGGCATACTTATAGGAGTGTAATGATCATTGGTAGCGTCGCATTGAGGAATTATTGAGAGAGAAAGAGGAGAGGTACATAAAATGGTGATAGAGAGAGAGAGAGGAGTATAAGAAAAAGTATCCAAGGGACAATTGAGTATAAAGATGCTCAATTTTGGTTCATCAAATGAACAAATTTATTTCATTCATAGCACATGGGCATGTAAATCGACAGTTGATTAATTTCATTCCAAGGCAATTTTCATAAATGACAATCATATTGCATTTTGAAGGAAACTTGCGGTAAGAATAGATGGATAAGACAGAGGAAGACAAATTACATTTGAATCTTCATATTCTTAAATAAAAAACTTTTCAAGGAAAAAACCATACACACAGTTTACAAAGGTAAGCAAACCTATGATGAATGTACTGCCAAAGAAAACACATTTTGAATGAACTTTAGACTGCAAATGAATATCATAAATGTTGTCGACAGAGAAAATACCAGATCACAGTTGTCACTGTTAATTTCAGACATGAACTAGATGTGGTTCATTCATGATGTAAGCGACGATTGACCATATCCCGTATACAATCTAGATAAGTTGATACACCGGTTCTTTGGCGAAATCAACTGCATGTTAAAACTTTAATAAAGAATGAATAGCGACACCAAACTGCAATCATAAACATGATTTTAACTAACCTAGAAACTCTTGAAAAAATGAAAAGTAGGAGAATGATAAGAAAGGACACTAGCAGAAAATGAAAAAGATACGCCATAGATAGATAGATAAGATAAATGATACATAAATAAATATATAATCAATACACTGTCAATACATAAATGAATGAAAAGAAACGGAAGACTAAAGATTTAAAGAAAACATTTGTTGTGACGTTGTATGAATGACTTCCTGGCATCAACGTCTCTGAATTTTATTTTTAAAGAGGCTACTGGTACAGTGAAATCTGTCTATAGTATACAGATCACCCAAGGGAGACAAACGTTGGTCTTTATGTAAAAGTGCATATAGTACATGTTTCAGTGAGAAACCATTTTCAAGGGAAACAAAAAAATGTGGTCTTTGTAGACAGGTGGTCACTAAAGCAGGTTTAACTGTACTAGGGAACCATCCATCATCAACGTGAATTTCAGACATGTATTATTCATGATGAAGTTGATGGTGGATCATCTCATCTATCCAGTCTAGATAAGATGATACCTTGGTGTATACACCGGGTTTGTTGGCCAATCAGAAAATAATTTGCATCTTAAAACTTTAACAAATAAATAGCGATACAAAGGTGAAATTATAAACATGATTTCAACTAACCAAGTGACTCTGTATTGAAAGAAAAAAATAGAGAGTCACTTCACGCATGAATTCAGACGTGTATTTATTCATGATGAAGATGGTGGTGGATCATCTCATCTATCCAGTCTAGATAAGATGATACCTTGGTGTATACACCGGGTTTGTTGGCGATGGCACAGCCGTGACCCCAGCTAGTAACACCCACCACGTACCAGTGATCGTCAGGTCCGAGGCAAGATAGAGGTCCTCCAGAATCTCCCTGTATATGGGAGAGAAAAGAGGCATGGAAATAAGGCCTTAAAAAAATGTTGTATTGCCCTTTGGGTTCCAAAACATGGGTTGGTCGGTCGGAATTTAAAAAAACAAAAACTTTTCTTTCTTTTTTAAATTCCCTCTTTGGGCTGATATTTCTCAGTTTTTAATGCTTTAATATATTTTTTTCTAAAAATCCTATTGAATGAATATATCAGGCAAACAGCAGGCTGGGGTATATTTAAAACTTCTTTCCTTCTACAAACCAAAATGCTATCTATATGGATCTGGAAAGCAACAGAAAAAACACTGAAACTATAATCCCTCCCACTCTTTCAGTCTGTCTGTCTCTTTCTCTCTCTATCTCTCTCTCTCTCTTTCTCTCTGTCTCTCTCTCTCTTTCTTTATCTCTCTCTCTCTCCTTCTCACTCTCCTCTTCTTCCTCACCATTCTCTTCCTCCTACTCTTTCTTCTTCTCTTCTTCTCCTCTTCTTTTGCTATTAATCTGTTTCTATACCCCTATATTATACTGAATTACCTTTCTTCATGTTATAAACATGTAATTCCTCCTTGTGTTTTTAATTTAATCATTTCTTGTTCAGATTTTTACCTTATTAAAATATGCTTTGAAAATCACAATTATCTTCAACACAATATTCTCATTAGTTATTATTGACCAATAGAGCTGAAAATTAAATCAATTTTCCTGATAAAAAGTTCAAGTTTTTAATCTTACCTGGCATGCATCTATACCGCCTTCCAAGTGGCCAGCACACAGCATAGTCTTTTCGATCTTGCCATTGTAAGACTTCTTATAGTTACAGATCTTGCGTGGTATTAGAGGCATCCTTGCTTCGTGTAAGACATCTGGACCATTTCCACCCACTGTTTAGGTACAATTGGATTTGAAAGAAATTGTGATGTTGGCCACGAAACGACACAAGGGGAAGAGATTAATGAATGGAACCAAACGATAATATATCCCATTATAAATCGTTAACTGTGAGCCAGAAGGGCATTTACTCTGGCTTTCAATAATTGTTTAATATTACTCAATAAGCGATGTGGTGCATGAAATTTTCGAGAGGACATAATGAAAGAATAGGAAGTACGAGACGGCAGATCTTGAGGTCAAAAGAAACCAACAAGTCAGATGAATACCACGTTTAAAAGAAAACGCCATTGCGTAATAAGAATATCAATAACGATCGTAGCAAACTTGAAGGTTTCATTTAGGGTTACTGCAAATATATCACGAAGGAATTGAGAAAAGAGGACAGGATAAGAAAATATCAAGGAGAAATGGAAGCCCTTAATGGAGTTAGCAGATGCAGAGATATCACAAAATTTGAATCAATCAAAAAGAAAGATAAATACAAACAGAGAGAAATTGATAGAAGAGAGAGGAGGGGCCGGCCGAGGATAGGGAAAACGTATATGGGAAAGTATTGGAAGGAAACGGAGGTAAGAAGAAGGAAAAGAAACCCTGATATTATGACTTACTCTCTGTAACTCCCCATCCCGATATATAACACTCTGTCCTGTCGTTGAGTGGCATTCCTTCATCTAGGCAAGCCCAGTTGATCTGCCCTGTCTCTTGTGGTACCGGCTCATCCAGGATTAGGAGGGCGATGTCACAACCCACGCCACCGTGCTCGCCGAACTTCTTATGGACGATGATCTCCCGAACGAGTCGATGTTGACTGCCGGCCTCGGGGACGAAGTCGACCGAGTGTTTTCCGAGGTGTACCTGCCATCTGGAAGTTGCCATCCTGCGTGTAGGAAGAGACGAAAAATAAGTTTTAAAAAATGATAAAAAATAATTTTGCTGATTTTGTTTATCACTAACGTTTCTTTTCAGAAACCCCAGATAGGCCTATATGATAACGGAAAGACAATCCTTTTACAAGAAATCACTATAGTAGGGTAAGATTGAAATGCGGCAAGTTTAATTGCATTTAGAGCAGCTAAATGAATTACTGATTTCTGCCATCAAGGGTTTAATTTGATATTTAACAGTTCAAGAATTAATGAAAGCCTACCTTCCATCTTCTGATGACTTTAAGCCTACTCTGAAACATAAAATAATGGGGAAAATTTTAAGTTTGTTAACATTTGAACCTATAGAATAAACGGTTCAAGGAGAAGAGGAATGTTTATAAACGCGGTTTGTTTGATTAATGACTGGACCTTTATTTCTCTGCCTAAGAGGGTATCGGGAAATTAGAAATGTCCATAGAGAAGGCCCCCCCCCCCACCCCCCCCCCAAAAAAAAGTTATAATAATAATAATAATTAATAAATAAATGAATAATAAATAAATTAATTTAAAGACAATTAAAAAATACAAAATAATAATAACAATAATAAATGTGATTCCGCCCTTTTAGTGACAACAAAAAAATTATTTGAGGAATCAGATTGGCGTCGATTAAAAAAACTCTTTTGGACAAGGGTACAAGAATAAGAGGTCCGACTATAACTTTTGTTATCCCGGATATTGTCTACCCCTTGGACAACTACCCCCTAGGACAACTACCCCATAGGGCAGCCACCCTTTAAGACGACTAACCTCAAGGACAACTACCCCCGGACAACTACCCGCAGACAACTACCCCCGGACAAGTACCCGCAGACAACTACCCCGGACAACTATCCCATAGGACAACTACCCCCAGGATAGTTGTCCGAGGGGTAGTTGTCCTAGAGGATGGTTGTCGTAGGGGGTAGTTGTCTGGGGGTAGTTGTCTGGGGGTAGTTGTCCTTGGGGGTAGTTAATAATAATAATAAAATAAAAACGTTACTTATAAAGCGCTTACCACCGAAGTCTCTAAGCGCCCTTAGGAGTAGTCGTCCTAGAGGGTGATTGCCCTAGGGGTAGTTGTCCTGGGGGGGGGGGGGGTAGTTGTCCTGGGGGTACTTTTCCTTGGGGTTAGTCGTCCTAGAGGGTGGTTTCCCTAGGGGTAGTTGTCCTGGGGGTAGGACCTGGGGGTAGTTGTCCTGGGGGTAGTTGACTGGGGGTGGTAATCCGGGGGTGGATGTCCAGGGGGTAGGTGTCCTAGAACCATTGTCAAGTCTATATTTTAAAGCATCAGATGAATGCAACATCGCGAGCCAGACACCCCCCCCCCCCCCAAAAAAAAAAAAAAAAAAAAAAAAAGGTACGAGGCGCTTAGTTTCTAGAATGTCAAATTAAGGGATTTGTGATCCCTTAAAACAGAATCTACAGAATCACGTCATATATTGTTGCCAATAGTCAGAGGCTAGCCTTAATGTAAGTAGGCCTACCCCCCCCCCCCCCTCCCCCGACCCTCGTATATAAACTTCCTTCGGTGCGATTACAATTACAAACTTACATGGGTCCCATGAAGCAATGTGCAGCCGTGAGCACAACCTGCGGGTCGATCAGCGTGCCGCCACATACGGGTTGCCATGATCCGCGTGTCCGGTAGAACAGCTGGGCTTGCCATGGCCAATCTCCAGCAATGGCTGGATATCCGCCTACGATACGCTCCGCCAGAGCTAGGCCGTCATCGCGGAAATGAATGTGACTCTTGATCCCGCACCCGATCACTATAATGAAACGATTGAAAGAACATTGTTCTTCTTGCAGTTTGCAATAGTTTTCAGAGCAATTTTAATTTAGCAACTTCCTACTTCGTTAAGATAGATTTGTGGTTAGATTTTTTTAAATATAATAATCCCCAAACCTGATGATCGGGTGTTAAGGGCGTTTGTTTTGAAATTGAATCACGACTTTACTTTTATATCACTCTTTTATCCTTTATGTCGAAAGGTCTACAAAATAATGTAAGAAATTGCATACTGAAATACATGTATATTCACTGTTTCTACATCTACTCTAGATATTGGATGACTTTGGCAGGATAAGCTCCCACGTGACTGTGTCTCACATGTGACGTCACGAATCTTGACACTGGAGGCAGAAAATCTGGATCTCAAAATTATCATTTTTGAGAGTTATTATTACTGCGGGCCTCAAATATATTTTGAAGAGGAAAGTTGTTACATGATCAGTAAGGCTTCCCCTTCGCAATAATATGGTTTTAGCAGATTTTAACGAGTGACTACTTTAAACTAATCAGCTTTACCAACGACATCATTCATACACAGAAAACAAATATGTTTGATGTTTATTTTCTGTTTCTATCAACATGTAAACTTTTAAAATGCCAATTTCCTTTTTTTCATTAAAACTGCACTAATAGAAAGTCATGCTTACTTACCATTTTCATTGGCGCAAGGAGCTTGTTCACACGCCTCCTCTTCCTGGCTTTCACCAAGACATCGTTCACCAGGTGATGCACAGACACGACTCCGTGATCGAGTACCAAGACCACAAGAAGGATGACATTTACTCCAATCTCCCCACGACGACCACCCGTACGATCCCGTCCATGCGATTTCAGTTTCTGACAACGACAACAAAAATGAGATCTATTTTTAGATTATTTTTTGCTCGAGAGGGGTGATGGAATTATTGACAAAGCCAATTAGGATGTGGGCAAGGGACAGCAACTCTACTAGGTTCTAAGCCTATATAGTCATGCTTTCTGGTCACATCTCTATAACGGAAACTTCATTTAAATTTCAACATTACTGTAATCGCAATTCAATGGGAAAGCATTTAATTAAGAAAGGAAAATGAAAACAGAATCCCTTCTTCCCAACATCTCGCGCATTAATAATGAAAATAGCAGGAAAACGGAATGCTACATTATTCAGTGGTATCCGTTCATACCTGCTGCTATCCTGGCATATTCATCCGGCAATAATTATTTACAGGTAGGAAGTAGATAAGTATGAACGGGGCTAACTATTATGCTCACCACAATCTTCTTCGTCCGTATCATCACCGCAGTCGTCATGGTTATCGCATCTCCATCGCTGAAGGACACAGAAATGGGTGTGTCCACACAGGTAGGACCCTTTCCAACACCGCTGAAATACTGGCAGTGTGAACAGAGGAAACGATTGTCACCATGACCATTGCCAAAACCAACAGGAATGAAATTGGTCATCTTCCTGTTTTTTAATTCATTCTCTTCGAAACACGATGTATTTTACTCGTTTTTTTTATTTTTTTAAGAATAAGATATCTTTATATATCTCAAAGTTGCCAGAATCAACCTACTTTAAATTTATACTTTATACAGGATTTCGAGTATTATTTTATAGAATATATTTGAATAAGTTGTTTCTGAAAAGTATCTAAATAAGACTGTAGACCTATGTCTGAAAGATGTCTAAAAGGTCTTCATATATATATATATATATCTCCTGTACTCGTTCGCAAGATTTATTGTACATCAAAAGGCAGGAATTCATCTCGTTTTTCAGAATACATACACTTATTCTTTGGGGGTTAGTTCTCCTTTAATTTGTTTTGTTTTGGCTCTTCTTTTTTTTGGTCCAGAAAAGTGAATCAAAATCCTCTTTCTCACCTGTTCCGCACCATCCGCTGAACTCGTCGGCCATATCGGAGCAGTCAGCGATCTCATCGCATACCCAGGGCCACTCTAAACATTTCGATCCTCCATCACACGAAAAACACTTTCCTAAAGGAAAGGATGAGACAAATCTATCAGATAAATTATGTTTAAAGTACGATGTTATTTGTTTTGTGCAATTTTAACAGTCTAATATATCAGACTGTTAAAAATGTATTCGGTTATAAAATGTAAATGCGGGTAATGCGTATATTTAAACTAAAAATAAAATAATAACAATATACCCTTATTTCGTTATTCAGTGTTCTTACTCTGCATATTATTTACTCCTGCACACACCATTCTTGTTCTCCTCCTCTTTAACCTCCTCCTCCTCTCCTCCTCCTCCTCCTCCTCCTCCTCCTCCTCCTCCTCTTCATCATTATCATCATAATCGCTAAAAGAGTTAGAAATCGTGCTTGCTTAAAATAGTAAATTAACGTTGAATGATAAAAAAATGATATTACTGTTTACTAAAAATGTTAGCGATTATGATGATAATGATGAAGAGGAGGAGAAGGAGGAGCAGCAGAACATAAATGAGGTATAAAGATGATACTTAGTATTGATTTTGTGTATATATTATATTTACCTAGGATTTAACCTCATCAGTATCAATGGAAGAAAATAAATGTTTATTTGAAATCATTTGAATTGAATACTGTTCTTTCTGAGGGCCATGCAATCATAATTATAAAACGAGTTACACGAATTCAAATCTTTAACCTTCATCACTTTGACTGATGCATTCCTACCATTTCCGGCGCTGCATAGTTCGTCACTTTCATCCAGTCCATCAGAACAATGCTGAGTGCCATCACAGATTTCTCCTTCCTGGACACATCTAGTGCCATTGTCACAGGAGATACGGGGACATATTTTGGTTACTGAAGCTGCAGGGGGATACAAATAAGGTGATATTAGTAATGTAAACTTTAACAATTCAAAACAAACTGTAGTAGAGAGGAGATAAAAAATTACGACTCGGTGGCATTAATACATTACATGTTATGCCTAGAGACGTTGCGTGTAAACGAAATCCTATTTTCAGCTTCGAGCCCTTAAGAATGTCCAAAAGAGCTCTCGTTGGGTGCAACTTTAAACCCGATTGGATTCTAACTCTTTCCAGTGTCTTTAAGGTCCGCCATTAAAACTCACAAGCAACCTTTGTTTTCTTAAGCATTTGTCGAGTTACCTATTATTTTTGCAAACTTAAATGTTCAACAAGCAGATTCGTAATCAAGGCTGCGTATATGCCATGAGTTACAAAATGATACACCCTGTCTGCTTTTTACAATACATCTCTAAAATTATTGTTCGATATTGCATGGGACAGTCTTGAAGCTTTTAGATTTATGTTGTTTTTTATTTTCATCAGAAATGGATCGATATCATAAACCTGTCGTATCTTACCATGATTTTCACAATATTGATGGTCTTCATCGCTCCCATCGTCGCAGTCGTAGGATCCGTCGCACATCCATTCTAGCGATATCATGTTATCACCAGACTTACACTCGAACCCTGCCAGGTAAAACAAAGTAATACGAAAAGTAAAACAAAGTAAAACGAAGAAAAAAAAAATATCACTTGAATGCTTAAAATGTTTCGAACGTATATGTGTTTCACAACATACTACTGTTCATAGAAATTGGGATTTTTATGCGATGATGGAATAATAAATATAAACATTACTTAAAGTTACCTTCAATATTAAATCAAATCACCATTGTTATAGTTATCTTAGAGATTGTGCCTGCATCTGATTTTTGTATGCCCATGTGGATTTAGTTTTCTTTTAAAAGTCTAGGATTAGCAATTGTCGTCGGTACGTTGGAATCTCGTTATAAAGAACATCTCAATAACAAACTCTTACTTCTCTATAATTATGCTATTATCATATATTATTGAAAAAATCGGGTCTTTTGTTTTTAATTTTTTTCTGAATATTTTTTCTTGTAAACCGGGTGATTTGTTGGTCTCGATAAAAGTAGAATTCACTGTTCATCATTCTAATACTAGGTTAGTGTATTTTAAAGACCCCCGATGCCTCAAATGTAGTGCACAGTACCATTCAACTTCGGAAGTCTTCGGAAAAGATAAATGTCTTCATAATTTCCAGTGAATCATACATACCGTCATATTCGCAATTAATCCCTTCATCTGACCTATCGCTACAGTCAAGATACCAATCACAGGCTAGATAAGCGGGGATGCATGACCCGTCATCGCACTGGAACTCGTCCTGGTGGCACGATGACGACTGGCGTCGTGGTCGTCTGATGGTCTGCACTTGTCCTAAAGAATGAAATATCAAATATTTCTTAACCGTGGTCTTAAATTTAACGATTCGGTATCAGAGGTCATGATCTCATAGAGGTGCCATAGTCTAGTGGATACGTAGCTCTCGTTTCGAGTCCCGCTACGGCACTAATTTCATTTGGCAAGATGTTAATCTACATTGGTCCTTCTCCATGCAAGGGTGGAAAGAGTTCCATAATATACCCCCGATAAATAAACACTACTGTCTTATTATTACACTTTCTTTCTATCTCTCATTGTCTAACCGCAACCCTAGTTTCCCGTGTTTTATATATAATAATATTATTAGGTAGACCGATATCACTCTGAAACTTATCTATATATTTTTTTTCTTCAATTTTAGTGGGGGTACATTATGGAACTATTGCCTTAAATCATAAAAGACGTATAATCACAACCCCTTTCCTTCTCTTTCTCCTACTATGACTTGTCATTTAAGATGTTTACCTTCTTAAAATTGTCTAAAAACAGATTTACTAAACCTTTGCTCTAGCTATTTTTGCAAGCATTCAAATGATTCGCAATGCAGTTATTATCTATTTTATTCATATCTGATATTTATACAGGGTGTCACTTATCACCAATTCGTTGGTCTTCCATGAGGCCCTGTTTGGTAAGAATAAAACAAATGACAGCAGCAAAAACAAAAACAAAAAATGCACAAGCATATAAAAAGGTACAAATTAATTGGTATCCTCGTGAAATAACTGATAACTGAAGAATTATCCTTGATCATTTGGAAGAAATATGTGAATTGAATTTTCAATTCAACAGAAAATACAATAAAAAATGAAATTAAAAAAAAGAATAGATGATAACCACGTATTTAAAAGAAGAAAAAATGATTGAAAACGTACATTTTTATAATCTGATATAGATAACACACGGGATACCGAATTTTCCATTCGATTGCTCTTTAATCAATAGACTTAGGTTGTTTACAAAATATGAAGTTAACCATGTCAACCAAACAAAAATACGAAAAGATTTCCCAGAGGTTTCTAAAACTGAGCGATATGATTGCATGGGACAGTCTTAAAGCTAAATGTTTTGACGTTGTCTTTTCATTAAAAATGAAACGATATCATAAACCTGTTGTATCTTACCATGATTTCCACAATATTGCACCACATCACCTCGTCCATGTAAACGTGGTAGGCCTATGTGTTAATCAAATTTATAGTTTGATAGCTTACCGTTTATCCGGCTGGTGCAATCTGCTTGAAGAATGGTCACACCGATGACGAGAAATGCCAAAACTTGACGTCTTGAAATTAAAAGAAAAGTTGACAATGACATCTTGTTCCAAACGTTTTAAAATATTAGCGATATTTAAACTGAAATTTGAACTGTGACAGTAGTTTCATTAGAGAGCCGGTAGACCAGTCTTTTTTACCGCTGTAAATTATCTTATCGCGTTCCGACATCAAAGAAAGGACCTCGGAAATCCATTACACTCGATCTACTCATTTGTATCTAACAGACCATCTTCGTAATGCATTCTAATTAATGCGTGCTTTCTATCTGCTATTATTGTGACGAGGCATGCCATTCAGCTGTTTCAAAACAACAGATTTCCTTTTGTTATTTGACCTTTTAGGTGCGTATAATACTGGAATGGCGCGAGATCTGGCCAACCTTAGGCAATCTACTGAGGTCACCAAGAACAGCCTTTGTCCTAAAGGCTTGCATAAAATCATTGGTTTGAATGGTCTGCTGGCATTACATTCTTTAAGGGTTTATCTCACTGTGCGGCAAATGATTGCGAACGGAGCGAATTTGGGGTTTCGCCAGGGTTCATTAAAGGCTGCAAAAGGTTCGTATAAAAGGTTGCAACTAAATTCACAAGCAGTTTTCATTGTCTCAAACGGTTTATCTTGGCGAATTTATTTTTTCCGCAAACAGTTGCAAGCGTTTGCAAAACAGTCGTAAGCCTTTGCAAACGGTTGTAAGACGGTGTCGCGGTAGTGCTTTTTGATTCGCCAATTCAAGCGACCACGTTACCATAATGCTTCCCCGGCCCCCCCCCCCCCCCCACTCAGTGTTATTTAGGATACGCATATGCGTGTTCCAATCGACCCCCCTTTTCAGCAAAAGTCCGGTGTGTAAAGTCAATACGGGTCGACCTTTTTCTTTTGTTATACGAGCCTTTTTCAGCACCCCCCCCCCCCCCTTTTTCAGCAAAAGTCCGGTGTGTAAAGTCAATACGGGTCGACCTTTTTCTTTTGTTACGAAAAGGACATTTTGGTAACACGCATGGGGTCCGTCCGTTCTCGGAGTGGGGGGGCCGGGAATGGTTCCTATATAAAAATCGACCCATTGAGCACTAGGTGCCCCCCCACTCAGTATTTAGGGTACGCATAATTATATTTATATGTGCAAATTTCAAAAAGAATTCCCCAATTTTCGAGGAACTAAAGATCTTGAATACCGTAAAGCCAAAGAAGAATAGTAACTGGTAACTCGTTTTTGCTAAATGGAGGTTTGAAATAGAAAATACCTTTTGTGGCTGCCTACATTCCTACTGTATTTATGATTCATTATCATTTTACGATTAACGTTCTGATATTTATTTGTCTTATTTTATGTATTGTGTTACTCTCCGATTATTTGTAAATATTGTGATTCTGTTTTGACTCAATAAGACATAAAATATATATCACAAGGGGGTGAAAATCCCTCGATGGGCAATCCCACATTTGAGGAAATTAGACAAATTTGTATTAATTAAAAATCTAAATGGTATCTCACCTCTTTAATAAATAAGTTTTAGAATTTGCAAACAAGCTTTCTCTCTCTCCCTCCCTCTCTATCTCTCTCTCTCTCTCTCTCTCTCTCTCTCTCTCAATCTGTGTATCGATTTTCACTCTCTATCTCTCACTCCAAGTCTCTCTTTCCCCCTTTACCCTATCTTTCTTTTCTCTGTCTTTGTATCGTTCATCAAGATAAGTATCTTTGAAAAACAGATGCACACACAAACTTTTTTTGTTTAATGATATGATTTATTTCAATGAAAGCAACAATATATTATTTTCCGAAATGTTTTCATTTCCAGGTTACTTTCGACGTAGATGCAGTTTCTTAGCAACCCATCGCTTAACTCGCATCCATCTACTAGGCCGATGGAGTTTGGTGATTTGACTTTGGATGGTATTGAGGCTAGGGCGATCGTCAGGATTATCAGCCATGCACTGAGCTCCTAGCTTGGACAGTTCTCGAACCACGGGAGAACGGTGACCTGCAGAAAGGAAGAAATAGAAAAGTAAAAGAGGCGTTACAATATATTTTGCCACTGTTCCTATACTTCATATACTGCATAAGTATTAACAGAATTTATATGTATACATCAAAGCTGGATGTGCTTGCAGCCCCTACGATACAGCGCCATCGTGAAATTGTATAGAAAAAGAACTGTGAGTAATTTTAATATTCAGACTGAGCAGCTTTCTTACAAAGGATTAGAATAATGTATATGAATTTTTTCGTAAACCTATCTCTTTTTATGAAAAAGATAACTATAATTACGAACTTATACTAAGTATGAAATTCGGCTTTTACCTCCAAATATCTCTCCCATATCGGAGAGGATACGGCCGACTGAAAACACATCTGAAGCGATGGATGCTGGCTGCTCATCCAAAACAACCTCAGGTGCTATATAGTCTGCCTCTCCTCCATGTACATACGCCATTTTGAGTTCTTTGGAAACTCCGACCATTTTCGCTGGGGCGGTGATCGTACTCGCCATCCCGAAGTCGATGATGACGGCGTTGTATCGCTTGCCGCGTTTTTCCAGGAGCACGTTGTCGTTCTTGAGGTCATTATGGAGAAGTCCGTGATCATGGAACTCCATCATGCCCTTGACGATGTCCTCTGCGATCTTGACAACGTTGTACATCGACAGCGATGGCGGTTCGTGGAGAGGGTAGCCGGTACCCGTCTTCTTACACCCCACGAACTCGACGGCCTGGCAGAGTTCGTTGCCGAGATCAAGGGTACCCCAGAACTTGGGAAAGTAAGGGCTGCCTGACATCAACTGTTGGATCATTGCCTCCTTTGTTGCTCTGGTCCTGGTTGCCTTGAGTTCTTCAACCATTTCACCAGGCGAGGCGAAGTCGTCTGACCATGACGGCTCTTTGATTGCAAGAGGAACGCCTGTGGAACGATGACGTGCTATCACAACCCGACCATAGCTGCCCCTTCCAATTTCTTGGAGCGAAATGATGCTCTGTGAAGAGAAAAAAGTATATTGAAATTTAAAGCAAGCTTTTTAGGATCAAATAAAAGACAGCAGTAAATTCCTTGTGTTTGTCATCAGTATTCCAACATCGCTGAGAAGGGATGACATATTGTTTCCCAAAATATTTTAGCTTACACTTTATAACTTCTGAGGGATACTTTTAATGAGGACTTAAAAAAAGTCCATCCAATGTTTCAGTGGATATATCGGTTCTTGCTAAGAAACACCCCCCCCCCCCCTCTATCTCTATATTAAGGCCATCACGGATCATGATGCAACTTTTCTATTACAAAAAAAATATATTTGACTTTCATACCTTTACAGTCCATCCCATGTCAAAGGTCACGAAGTCATCGAGTATGAGAGTCTGACATGAGACCTTAGGTTGCAGCATGTGGATGACCTCTTCATCAACACTCTTGTTCTGATTGGCCGATATCTCTGGCTCAAGAGTATAACTGTTTTGAAAAAAAGAGACAAGAAATTTCAATCTAAAAGGTTATAAATAAATGCCACCAAAATCAAAAGTTTTCTCCTTTAAAATGAATATAAGTGTGTTAAAAGTGGATGCTAAGGCATTTGAAGATCCTTAAGTGCATGATCATCGAATTAATTTCATGTAAAAATGTATTGAGATCTTTTAAATCAGCAATATGCATGATGGCTTTCAAATATTGTGGGCATCATTATTCTTAAGTACAACACTTCTACTCGACGGTAATTCATTTATGTATCATAAACAAATTGAATTCCGAATTTACATGTTTAGAAGGGGGGAGAAATATTTGCCGCACCTCTGTTTTGGGATGAACGTTGAGATTGCAGCAGAGTCGGTTTGCTGGTCTTTCGACTCCTGGGGGAAATCCCCGCCGGGATAAGCTTGGGCTTCTTGCTTAGCTTTGACCAGTACGGCTTTGACTATCTCAATGGCTTGAAGGATCTCATCCCCGTGGTCGGACACTGGTCCCAGGGCTAGTCTTTGACGGCGATTTGCCATCCGTTGAGCCCTCCGCTTTCTCTGAGCTGACATACCGATGTCTATCATTGTCAGAGACTTTACGATTTATCTACGAACAAATTAATATGCAGTTCTAGAGTGAATCTTTTTTTTTAAAGCAATGGTTCTCAAAATATTCGACCACATTTATTTAATCCATATTTCTTTGATTTTGTTTTGTCCGTACATAATTTTTCTTAATTTGGCTTAGGCCTACCAGTCATACTGGATTTAAACTTGAATTGGGTATATCATTAAATTCGCGTAACATTGGCCTTAAGATAAAATACATACAACACCTAACATATAAAATTTTATGAGAATTGAAATTTTATGGTAACTATATATTACTATTCAGTTTATTCCAATCCATTAGTGTGTGAAAAAGAGGGAATTTTGACTGAATTACCTGATTACAAAGTAGAAATCTCGGGAGAAAATCTCTCTTGAAGAAAGTGATTGAATTCGCTGATTCAATGAAGAAAGTTTCGAAAGCACTTCAGAAAAAGCAACATATGCACTCGGAAGCTAGATCAAAACTGAACACAAAGCGCAACGATTTGTTGTCTAAAGAGACCATTCAACGCGCACCCATACCAACCATTATGTCGTCATCGAGGAAAACTTTAAGCCAATCAGAACGCAGTAAATCTCTACCCAGAGAAAGCTAGAGCGTGGTAACCGGTTAGCGTAGCATCATGAGGTCACAGTGGTTGCGCGACTTCCACGCATGCGCTTTTCATCTATCAGAGCTCATTTGGCAGCTTGAATGGAAATTTGAGTAGAAATACCCAGGGTAATTAATAATTGGAGGGTCGATAGGGTAATGTGCCCCCCTTGATTTAAAACCAATTAAATCAAGGCAAATATCTCGATTGTCAAATACAGTGCTTCTGATTATACATGTCTATAACAGTGTGATAGGGGTCATAGCCAAGATAAATATATTTTATTTCTTCTGATTATTATGCGTCTTCCCAGCGACCCCCCCCCCCCTTTCAGCAAAAATCCGGTGTGTCAAGTCAATACGGGTCGCCCTTTGTCTTTTGTTACGAGCCGGAGAGTTTGGAAACACGCATGATATCCCTCCGTTCATGGAGTGGGGGGGGGGGGGGGGGGGGGGGGGGCGGGACTAGGAGTTAGTAAAAGGTCCCAAACATTCACAAATAGTGGCAAAGGATTGGCAAATAGATGCTAATCTTCGCTAAAACTGT